TTTTTTTTTGTGGAACCAGGGATTGAAGTCAGGTCCTTGCACTTGCCAGACAAGCACTTATTCTACTGAGCTATCTCCCCGGCCCCTTTATAAGGATTTTTTTTTTTTTTTTTTGCATGCCTTCAGGGCAGGTTTGGCTGGCTTTAGTTGTGGGGCTCGAACCACAGCAACCTGAGCCTGACTGCTTTGTCGAAGCAGCCCTTACAATATATAAGTAGAAAAACATACTAATCTAGATAGAAACACCTAATTTGTAGCTTTATCCTCTGAATGCCAATGGCAGTGACACTCCATAGATCTGTGTGCATTACCCAGCACTTAGATCTCAGATCTAAACTGTGGAACGTACCTGATACCTGGAATAGAGCAAAGAGCACAGATGAGCCCAAAATGTCTTGCTCTGCCAGAAAGTACCCAAGGACTAGTGGGGAAGTGCTTAAGGGCCACAGCTGGGCTCTGAAGTAACGCGCGTCAGATTCACAGTAATGAATTACAATCGATAGAATCGCCCACTCTGCTGTAAGTAGAGAGATGAAAAGGGTCTTCCTTAAAATCAAATGATATAATATAAAAAGAATGCTGAATTTAGAAAGTCATAACCTGGCCATGGTCACCCTTTCACACAAATTAATAATTGTAAATTGGATTGAGAATCGTCAGTGCTAAAAATAGCAAAAGAAAGGTTCAGAAATGATATTTTTATAGCCTCAAAGTATGTAAGGTGTCCCACAAAGATGAAAAATAACTACACTACAGAAACCTGGCAGACAGTGGTTAAGTGATCGGAGCTAACATCACTAATAACTGGACAAATAGTTCTCATACACAGTCTGAAAAGGGCACGGACTTAGGAGGTTTCTGCTGCAAATGCATAACTTGAATCTAATCACGGAACATCAAACAAATTCAGATTGAGAGATTTGTACAAATGACCTGTGTTCTTCAGAAAGTGATAAGGTCACAGAAAACAAAGGCCAACAAATGGCTCCCGAGCAAAGGAGACTAAAGAAACATCACACCTAAATACAGTGACCGTTCCATGTTGGACCCTGAGCTGGGAATTTTTTTTTTCCTTTTGCTATGGAGGACATTTTGACACAGGTTGGAAAATGTGAATAAGGCCTATAAATTGATTTATGGCATTTTAATTTTTTGATCTTGATATCTGTGCTGTGATTCCATAAGAATATTCCATGTCTTAACAATGCAAGTATAAGGGAGCATTGAAAAGGCAACTGATGTGGAACTACCTGCTCAGGTCCCCGTCCTGTCCCTCTCTTGGACAGGAGCTTTCTTTCTCTCAATAAATATATTCTGCTCATAAAAAAAAAAAAAAGAAAAAGCAACTGAGATCATTTAGGAAACAAAAATGTGGGTGTTCACTTGTTTGTTCATATACATATACAAAGAAAAAGAATTTAAAATATGATATAAGTTAAATTCTATTTATATTGATTTGACTAGTGCAAGTTATGTCTGTGTTGAACTATCACACTGTATCATTAATATGCACAATGAGCAGAAACTTTAAGGCAATAAAAATACTGTTATTTTAACCGATTTCCTATGCTATTTTTTAATTATCTTACCACCAAGTATGTAACATTGTACTGAACACAAAATTAGTGTGATTATAAAATTATTCTTTATAAGTCATTAGAAGTCACTAAAAAACTAAAATGTGAATTATTAAAATGTGGAAAATCTAGAGAAAGAATGTACAGATATTTATTGATATATATTTATTCACCTTTTCAACAAATCTGTAATTATTTTAAAACAAATTTTTCAAAATGTGTCTGTTTCAGATGTGGTGCTGGGGGCCAGGAATTTGGCTCACAATACAGTGGGTACTGGCAAGCCCAAAGTCCTGAGTCTGATTCTTATTAAAAAAAGAAAAGAAAGGGGGAAAAATGCTATGCTGTATGTGGAAATGAGCTTCTCTCTGAATGAAAAAAACTAAATTGATGAAAAATAGTCTGACTTCCTTTTTTTTTTTGCTCCGAATGCCTTCAGGGCATGTT